AAGATGTTTATAGAATTTTTAGATCAAAAGAAATTGTAAGCAGTGTTATTAGCCTTCTAATTTTTGTTGGTTGTTTGCATACATAAAAAGAGGCAAATAATTTTTCTATTGTACTATTTCTATAATTTTATTCTGAAAATTTTAGAAATAGTTTAGAGGACTAGTGAACTGAATTGACTGGGTTGTTGTTGTTGTTGTTATGTGCCGTCAAGTCGCTTGCGACTCATAGCGACCCTATGTATAACAGCTTTAAACCCTGCTCTATCCTGTGGCAAAAGCATTGCTTCTGACACACCCATCACAATTACCCCAGTCACTGAGTCAATCCACCTCATACAAGGTCTTCCGCTCCTGTGCTGTCCTTCCACCCTCCCAAGCATGATGTTCCTCTCTAAGGACATGTCCCTCCTTACAACATGTCCAAAGTATATCAGACAAAGCCCCAGAATCCTTGCCTCTAAGGAGTAGCCTGGTTTAACCATCTCCAGGATGAATCTGTTTGTTTTCTTGGCAGTCCATGGCACATTCAATACTCTTCTCTAGCACCACAGCTCAAAGGCATCAATTCTCCTTCTATCCTCCCGAGTCATTGTCCAACTCTCTGATGCATAACAAGTGAGAGCAAAGACCATGTCCTGTATCAGGTGCACCTTAGTCTCCAGAGAGACACCATTGCTATTGAATACTTTAGAGAGGTCCCTAACAGCAGACTTTCCCATCACAATACGTTTTTTTCTTTCCTGGCTGCTGGTGCCAAGAGTGTTGACTGTGGAGCCGAGCAAACTGAGCTGTGAACAGTCTCAAGTTTCTTCGCCATCCTTCCTGATGCTACCAATTGGTCCAGTGGTGAGAATCTTTGTCTTCTTGACATTGAGCCTCAATCCGTACTGAAGACTGCAGTCCTTGACCCTCTGCAGCAAGCATTTCAGGTCCTCCTCAGTTTCAGCAAGCAGGGTTGTGACATCTGCATAATGCAGATTGTTAATAGATCTTCCACCAATCCTGACGCCACACTTCTCAGAGAGCCCAGCCTCTAGGATAATCTATTCTGCACACAGGTCGAAAAGGTATGGAGATAGGACACATCCCTGGTGTACACCCTTCCCAATTTTGAACCGTGCAGTGTAACCCTGCTCTGTTCTGACGACTGCCTCTTGGTCCAAGTATAGGTTTAGCATTAGCATGATTAAATGACTGGCTTAAGAAAGAAAATATTCCAGCTGACATATTCTCACTGCTTTGATAGCCTCCAGAATCCATGTTGTTATGTGCTGCCAAGTAGCTAGCAACTCATAGCAATCCTGTGTACAACATCCCTGGACCCCACTCTATCCTGTGCCAATCTTATTGTCTCTGACACGCCTACCCCCCATTACCCCAGACACTGAATCAATCCATTTTATAAAGGGTCTTCCTCTTTTCTGCTGTCTTTCCACTCTCCCCTGTATGACATCCCTCTCCAAGGACTGGTCTCTCCTTGCAATATGCCTAGAGTATGTCATATGAAGCTTCAGAATCCTTGCCTCCAAGGAGCAGCCTGGCATCACCCTCTATCGAATGAATCAGTTCATGGTTTATTCAATGCTTTTCTAAAGCACCACAGCTCAAAGGCACCAATTTTCCTTCTATCATCCCTAGTCATAGTCCAGCTTTCTGAAGCATAACAAGTAATTGCAAAGACCATGTACTGAATCAAGCACACCTTAATCTCCAGACTGATATCATTGCTCTTCAGTTCTTTGGAGAGGTCTCTGACAGCATGCTTTCTCAATGCAGCAATTCATCTTTAAATTTCCTTGCTGCTAGTGCCCAGAGTGTTGATTGTGGAGCCAAACAAACAGAAACTGTTAACAGTCTCAATCTCTTCATGGTCTGTCATGATGCTTCCAATTGGTCCAGTGGTGATGTGTGTGTGTGTGTGTGTGTGTGTGTGTGTGTGTGTGTGTGTGTGTGTGTTGAGCTTCAATCCATAATGAAGGCTGCAGTCCTTGACCTTCTTCAGCACCAGTCCCAATTTTGAACCATGCAGTATTCCTTCCTCTCTTCTGTCAGCTGTCTCCTCGCCCAAGTATAGGTTTCACATAAACACAGTCATGATCTGGCAAATAATATATTCATATGCAACATCGTATAATTGAGTTTTTATGAATTAGAAGAAACCTACTATTGCCTGAGTGATAAACATTTCAGCATCTGGATTGCTTCTGTTGTTGTTATTATGTGTCATTGAGGCACTTGTGACTCATAGCAAACCTATGCTCAGAATATTGCTCTATTCTAGCCAATTTCATTATCTCTAACACATTACCCTCACAATGCCAGTAACTGAAGCAGTCCATCTCATTCAGGGTCTTCCTCTCTTGCACTGTTCTTCCACCTTTCCAAGCATCATGTCCCTCTCTAAGGACTCGGCCCTCATTGCAACATGCCCAAAATATGTGAGACAGAGCTTCAAAATCCTTGCCTGTTCAAGGAGTAGCTTGATTTCACCCTCTCCAGCACAGACTTTTTTCTCTTAACAAACAGTCCATGATATATAATACGTTTCCAGCACCTAAACTCAAAGGCATCAGTTCTTCTGCTATCATCCTTATTCATTGTCCAGCTCTCTGATGCATAGCAAGTTAATGGGAAGACCATGGCTTGGATCAGCCACATCTTAGTCTCTAGACTGATATCATTGCTCTTCAGTACTCTGGAGAGGTCCCTTACAGCAGATTTTCCCAATGCAATTCATCTTTTGACTTCCTAGCTGTTGGTACCAAGAGTGTTCATTGTGGAAAAAGCAAGCTGAATCTGTTAACAATCTCGATCTTTTCTCCAACTATCATTATGTTGCCAGTTGGCCCAGAGGTGAGATTCTTTATTTTCTTGAGTTGAGCTTCAATCCATATTGAAGACTTCAGTCCTTGACCTTCTGTAGCAAATGCCTCAGGTCCTTCTTAATTTCAGCAAGCAAGGTTGTATCATCTGGATAATGCAGCTAGCTGGTGAGTCTTCCTCCAATCCTGATGCCACATTCCTCCTACTAAAGTCCAACTTCCCAAGTCATCTATTCCACATATAGATTGAAAAAGTATGGGAGTAGGATGCATTCCTGGCATACACCTTTCCTGATCTTGAACCAGGTAATGTTTTCTTTGTCTGCCTCCTAGTCCAAGTACAGTTTTCTCATGAGCACTATTAAGTGTTCTGGGATTCCCATTCTATTTTAAGGTTAGCCACAATTTATTGTGTTCCACACAGTCAACTGTCTTTGCATTGTCACTGATGCACAGATAGACACTCCTTTGGTACTCTCTACTTTCAGCTAAGATCATTATAACATTGGTTGTAATGCCCTTAGTGCCACAGCCTATTCTAAACCCAGCATGCATATCTGGCAATTCTCTGTTGCTGCATTGTTCCAGTTGTTTTGGGTAATCTTTAGCAGTAACTTGCTTGCATGTGATATTAATGATATTATTTGATAATTTCCACACTCTATTGAATCCCCATTTTTTGGAATAGGAGCAAATATAGTTCTCTTCCAGTCAGTTGGTCACATAGTTGCCCTCCTATTTTCTTGGCGACAAACAGATGACCACATCTTGGGTAGCATCTGTTTGTTGAAATATATCAATTGGTATTCAGTCAGTTCCTAGCGCCTTGTCTTTTGCCAATTTCTTCAGAGCAACTAGAACTTATCCTTCGCCACTATCACCTCCTGAGCATATGTTGTTTCATGAAATTCTTCCGTATCAGTCAATTCTTTTTGGTATAATGACTCTGTGAGTCTGCTTGCTTCTAGTTTCAGCAAATTTCATTTGCTCAAGACAGTCAATTTCTCTGGCTGTTGGTTGTTTGGGTTTTTTCTCTCTCTTCACTTAGAGTTCAAACGTGGTTCTGGTGACACTCTTAGAATTGTTGGTGTTTTTAAGATTTTCATCTTGCAGTGGTAATTAGAGATCACTTGATGTGGATAGATTATTTTAAAGGTCAGGATTTTGAAGACCATACTGTGTAAAATTATAAACTTTTAAAACCGATTGTATCCACACTAGCAACTTTAATACCTTTATTCATGGTGTCTTTTTTGTTATTAACTTTTTTTCCTATGGAAGCATCTAAAGATGATGCACCACCATGTTCTGTGATCCCAAGATCTCATATCCAAAGTTCGACAGAAGAGCTGTGCAAACTGTTCTCTCCTTTTTGCTGTCATTTGCTTTTTGCACCTGTAAAAGGAGCAAGGACCTCATGAGGATAGCTATATGTGACCTCTACCAACTCCACGAAGGGGAGCTGTTCTTGTCAACACACCCGCAACACAAAACCAATTCCTATGACGTCAGGTATGTTCTCCATGCTTCTGCATCTTTTTCTACTCATCCCAACACCAATCTTACTTCTCTATTGTGTCCCAAATCCATTGTGATATCTCACAGACCACACCGAACAATGCTTGGAAGTCATAAGGCTATATTTTAGGTTAGCAGACAGCTTCTGAAATATTCTCACAGGCACCTCAGCCTTGAGGCTTGAGGCAAGTGTTACAAAGCCCTTAGTCCTGCCAATCATGACACTTTCCCCTGAGTCCTTCCAAAAACTTGGAAAAAGGGCTTTTGGGTCTGGTTCAGTAGGGTTACACTCCCAGGGTTGGCTCCATCCCATGTTAGGTCTTTAGTTCTTTTCTAGACCTCCTCTGAAGGTCTGGCATAAGAATCTCTATTCCTGAAGGGTATGGATTCCATGCCTGCTTCTCTTTTACAGGTGCAAAGTCTACCACTGAATCTGCTCAATTTAGTGGTAAGATTAGCCAATCCCCTTGTATATAGAAACACCATATTTACATTCCAGGCCATCTAAACAACAAAGTGAAGCCAATTTGAACAATAAAGCCTCAATACTAAACTTGAAATGTTAATATACAACAGAACATACTGGTTTTATGTTCATTCTCACTATTGGGATTATCTATTCTTTAAGTCACTCCTTTATTCTTATATGGGAAACAAAAGGCTAAAACAGACCTTTCTGTCAGTTGTGTGGGAGTTGAGGTACTGGCTGAAAGGCAGAAAAGTCTCATTTCATAGATAAATAAGAAAGACATCTTATGTCTTCCAGGAGAGAAGTAACTGATGGAATCTATGTGGAATATTTTCTAGTTCTTACTTTTCATGTCTATGCATCCTCATTATTTTTTTTTGTTTTAGAGTGGGTTTTTGAATTTTTTAAAAAATATTTGTTACTTTGTGTGTAATAATTCCTATATATTGTGTTTTGTTCAAGTACTTCATATAATCAGTATATTTTATGCTTAATTTATGTTTTATACAATCATTACATTATACATTACATTTTATCTAATCTATGCCTATGACTAGGGAGCTCTCGTGGCCTAGTGGCAGGAAGCTCTGCTGCAATCCTGAAGGCACACAGTTTGAGGACACCAGCTGCTCTGTAGGAGAAGGATCTTATGTATAGCAGATGGTTGTTACTATGGTTATTAGATGACATGGATTCAACTAGACTCATAGAGACTCCATGAACAACAGAACTGAAACTTAGTCTAGCTTGGGCTATATTTACAATCTCTCATCTCATTGAGCCTGTTGTTGAAAAACACTGTGTCAAATATACCTTGTTGAGAATCTTCCTCTCTTTGTCTGACCTTCCAACTTTTCCAGTATAATGCCTTTTTCCAAGAACTGGCCCATCCCGGAAACCTGTATGTGAGATGAAGTTTCACCTCCTTGCCTCCAAGGTTGCACTTTCTTCAAGACATATTTATTTATTTATTTATTTATTTATTTTGGAAGACCTTGAGATAATCAGTGGATCACAATTTGTTGCATAATCTCCAACACTATAATCTATTTCATGTTGTTGTTGATGTTGTTATGTGCCGTCGAGTCATCTGCGACTCATAACGACCCTATGTACAACAGCCCTAAACTCTGCCCTATCCTGTGCCAATCTCACTGTCTCTGACACACCTACTCCCATTACCCCAGACACTGAATCAATACATCTCATCGAGGGCCTTCCCCTCCTGGGCCTGCCCTCCACCCTCCCAAGCATGATGTCCTTCTCCAAGGACTGGCCCCTCCTTGCAACATGTCCAAAGTATGTCAGACAAAGCCTCAGAATCCTTGCCTCCAAGGAACAACCCAACTTCACCCTCTCCATGACAAACCTGTTCGTTTTCTTAGCAGTCCATGGTATATTCAACACTCTTCTCCAACACCACAGCTCAAAGGCATCAATTCTCCTTCTATCAACCTTAGTCATTATCCAGCTCTGTGATGTATAGCAAGTGATTGCAAAGACCATGGCATGAATCAGGTGCACCTTAGTCTCCAGACTGACTTCGATATTTTAGAGAGGTCCCTAAACACAGACTTTCCCATCACAATATGTCTTTTAATTTCCTGGCTGGCTGCTGATGCCAAGAGTATGGACTGTGGAGCCAAGCAAACCAAAAGTGTGAACAATCTCAATCTCTTCACCATCCATCATAATGCTGCCAATCGGCCCAGTGGTAGGAATCTTCGTTTTATTGGTATTGAAATTCAATCCATACTGATGACTGCAGTCCCTGACCTTCCACAGTAAGTGCTTCAGGTCCTTCTCAGTGTCAGCAAGCAGGGTTGTGTCATATGCATAACGCAGATTGTTGATGACTATTCCTCCAATCTTGATGCCACGTATCTCCTCATTAGGCCCAGCCTCCTGGATAATACGTTCTGCGTAAAGAATGAAAAGATATTGAGACAGCATGCATCCCTGGCGTATACCCATAAGCTATCAGATCAAGGGGTGTATAGCAGGATATAGGTGTTGAAAGGAGTAGGTGGAAGTGGAAGGGAATGATGGTGAAGCAGGGAAATGGGTGGGTCAAGAGACTCATGTCAAGGGCAGGGACAACACTAAAACTACTGGCTATTTCTACAATTGGGAAAGATCTTTCATCTGCATTGTTCTGTAAAATACTTGTCTGTCAGATACTTTTCTAAATCTGAGCATTAAGATTAAGACAGACTCAGAAGAAGGACTGGCCATCCACTTCCAAAATAGCAGGCCTTCAAAAACCCTATGTACAATAGAACACACTTAGACTAGGAGATAGGACACCAGAGGTGGAGCTTTCAAGTATGGAGCTATTGCATAGTAAATCAATAACAAATAAACATCTTTCTGAAATTTTCCACTTTTAGTCAAGATCCATCTGACAACCACACTGATATTCTTTATACCACTGTTTCTTCCATCCATGTACTGTTCTAGGTTTTTTGAAGAAACTTTGTTAATATTTCACTCATATGTGGTGTTAATGATATTGCTTGATAAATTCCAAATTGTGTTATATCACCTGCTTTGGAATAATGGGCATAAATATGATATCTTCCAGTCACTTGGTTAAGTAGCTGTCCTCTATATTTCTTGACATAAGTAAGTACATCCAGGACTGCATCTGTTTGTTGAAACAAGTCAATTGATTGGGGCTTATTTTTTTGCCAGTTTCTTCAGTGTACCTTGAACTTTTTCCTTTATTACCACCAATTCTTGATCATATGCTACTTCCTGAAATTGTTCAGTGTTGACTAAATTGTTTGGTACATTGACTCTATATTCCTTCCATTTTCTTTTATGCCTTTGTATTATCCAGAATTTCCCCATAGAATCCTTCAGTATTGCAACTTGAGATTGAATTCTTTTTATTCAGTTTTTTTCAGTGTCCGTAATGTTGAACATGATAGCTTATTGATGTTACTTTTGAACAAGTCAGATGTTGCCTTTCAGTTTGGTGCCATTTACTGAATCTTTATTAATTTGGCATATACAATTGACATGAAGGGATGTCAGGAATACATATTTTGAATAGTTTAAAAATCATTATATAAATTCAACAATATTTTAAAATGTATTTATATTTTCCATAATTGATATAAATAATATTTATTAATTCAATGATACTAAGTGACAACTAAATTTTATTTGTAGTACAGGATCAAGAAATTTTGGCAAATTCATATATTTGATACTATTTGGTACCTAAAATATTTTAAATCCTGCAATTGAAACATATGGATAATTATCTTACAATAAAACATTTAACAGAAGAATCCAAATTTACCTCAGAAAAGAGAAAATAAATCTATAAATGTATATGATTTGTTTAAAGTGCAGCTGCAAGTTGAGTAAACTAATACTTAACTACACATATTTTGGTAGTAAAACTACTAAGAAAACTATGGAAATTATTTCCACGAAGGATGATTTGGAAGTAAAACAGTTGTGATAATGAGGGGTCCTACAGTGAGATTCAGGAGATATTTTTTAATCTATGTGTTATTAACACCAATGTTGACTTTATAAAATTTCTTAAATAGTACATCATCATCATCTTTATGATGGATTTCTTCAAATTATCCTGACAATTATCAATGATTGTATTTAGAGAAACATGTTATAGGCATTATTTATTTTTCAGGTAGGCAATTTTCATTCAAAGAGATTTAAATTGAAAGCACAATAATGTTTTCTCTATTGGTATCAGAAATATAAGTAATATTTCTTTTTTAATTTATTTTATTATTCATTTTAATGAACATTTGCAGAAACTTTGGACTTGGTTCAATCACCGTTGAATTTTTCTCCCTGCGCACCCCTCCCCCTCAGTTCGCTTTTCTCCTTGAAAGGCAAAAGAAAAATTATTTCATTGATACACAATTCCCCGCTCCCCAAGTGCACTCCACTATGCAGCCCCCACTTTGTACTCCTGTCATGACCGTAATACTCAGTCATATATTGGTTTACACAGTTTTCTCCCTCATCTGCCTCAACACAGTGTATACAATTTATCCAATATTTCTCAGTTTCACCCCAAGCCTGTTGTCAGTCCCATTCTACAACACTGGCACCATGCAGTATTTGTCCTTTTGTGACTGAGATATTCATGCAGCATAATATCCTCCAACATCACCTATTTTAAATAATATTTCATGAGTCCCTTGTTTTTCAATGCAGCAGAGTATTCCATTGTGTGAATATACCACAGCTTCTCTATCCATTCATTTGTTGATGGGCACTTAGGTTTTTTCCAACTCCTTGCTATTGTGAACAAAGCTGCGATAAACATGAGTGTACATTTATCTGCTTAGGTGTCAGTTATGGTCTCTTTGGGGTATATTCCCAGTAGCGGAATTGCTGGGTCAAATGGTATCTCTATTTGCAACTTTTTGAGAAAGCGCCATACCGCCTTCCACAGTGGTTGCACCATTTAACACTTCCACCATCAGTGAATAAGGGTTCCAGTCTCTCCACAACCTCACCAGCATTTGTTGCTTGCTGTTCTGTTAAATTTTGCTATTCTGATTGTGGTGAGATGATATCTCATAGTTGTTTTGAATTTGCAACTTTTTGAGAGAGCGCCATGCAGCCTTCCATAGTGGCTGCACCATTTTATTTCTAATGCTACTGATGCCTCTCTATGTGTATTCATATTTCCCTCTGGTATTGTTTTCCTTCTGCCTGGATAATATCCTTTATTTGATATTCACTCATACTAACTAAATTGTTGTTGCTGTTGTGTACCATAGAGTTGGAGCTGACCCAAGGCTGACTCTCCAGTGGATTTTCTGAGGCAGTTGTTCACATTAGAACAGATTGCCCATCCTTCTTCTATGGAGCAGCTGGCTTGAACTGTTTGCCTTTGAGATTGCAGTGCAGGCTCTTACTACGAGGCTAATATGTTTATACATATCTCACTTGACTAACTGTTGTTGTTAGGTGCCATTGAGCCAAGTATGACTCATAGCAACTCTATGAACAAACATCTCAACCTTGTTCTATCCTTCACCATCCTCACACTTGACACACAAGAGCCCATCGCGCCAGACCACCAATCAGCCTGGTTGTGAGTCTTCCTCTCCTTCACCAACCCTCCACACTTCCTAACATCATGTCCTTCTCCAAGGAATAGCCCCTCCTAGCAACATGTCTAAATTAAGTGACACAAAGCCTTGTCATTTTGCTTCTAAAGAGCAAGTGCACTCTGGCTGTACCTCTCCAAGACATATTTGTTTGTTCTTTTG